ATTTTTATTATTAAAATTATTAATTTTATAAAAATCATAATAAGAAAATAAATAAATAAAATAAATTATAATAGCATAATCACACACTAATTTTTATTTTTAACAAAGAAAAAATATATTATTTTTAAATAAAGTATACAAAAATTTTAATCTATGCGTCTAATTAGTAAATTTTGTTTATTAAGCTAATATATCTTCTTATGATAAATTAATCTAAAAATAAAAATATAATAATTATTTAATATTATGAAAGACAAGAAAAAAAAAAGTTGAAACTAATTAGATAAATACTAATTAAAAATCGTGGCCAAAAATTAAAATATTAAAATAGATAAATTTGTTAATAAAATTAAAAAATTTCAATCCGCTAATGGTTTGGTACAAAAAGTTACTTAAGTGGTTTTTCAATCTGCTAACGATTTGGACTATAATTGCTATCCGTTATCTTCAAATCACTAAATAAAAAATTTTACCAAATATCTAGTTTGTAGTGGTTTTAAAATAAATAAACTTATCAAACACTTATTCCTAACGGTTTAGGTAAAACCACTAATCGTTAATTTCAAACTATTATACCAAACGTGCTCTAAATATAGTTTGTTAACTTATTTTTCTAAATTAAAGATTCAAAGATAACTTATGTATATACTTAATTTTTCTTAAAAAGTAAATAAAAGATAAAAAAATTTTAAGTTAGATTATTAAAGTAAATAGATAATTATAGAATTAAAATGGAAAAAAATATTTGTCTATTTTAAAAAATAAAAACATGACAATTAATTTAAAATAAATTTAGAGTTAAAAACAAAAAAAAAACTATTTTGAAACGGAAAATTTATTTAATAAGAGTAAAGTGTTTATCAATGGATCTCTAAAAAATTAAAAAGAAAACTATCTCAAAATTATGTCATTTCATTTAACTTCCATTAAAAACACTAAAATAACTTATTTTTAAAATAAAAAGAAGATAACTTTGATCTTTTCCAGTGTTACTTTAATAAAATAAGGTAATTTTATAGTGTTCTTTAAATTTTTTAGAAGTTAAGTTGATGAACACTGATTTTATTTAATAAAATGCGCTGAGAAAAATATAATTACAACAATATGATTGCATTTTTAATTTATTTAATTATTTATGATATTAAATATATCCATTTATTTAATAATATATCATAATTATAAAACTACAACTTTACGCTTCATTTTATTGTACTATATTGTGATGTTGCTATAAGTTTTATCTTTTACTATTTCAAAAATATATAAAATATTAATTAAAATTTGTAAAGATACTATTATCCCAAAATATCTCCTTGACATGTAATAGATGAAACAATATACCACTTGCTTTGCTCAAAACAATTAAGTGTAAACAAATACATTAAGAAATTAATTAAAATTAATTAAAAATAACAAATTTACATTTGTAAATAAATTGCTTCATAAAAGGAATGGTCAAACCAAGCCTTTACCAGGATATTATAACTATATATATCATTGCATTTCTTGTTTCCCTCCTAAAAATAGACAAAACGACAGTGAAGATAAGTATCAAATTATCTATTTTAACAATACAAATTTACATTAAGATATTAACCCTAAAGAATGTAGGAGGCAGCTTTCTCAAATGACAAATAGAAACAGCATGATTAAATCTAGACAAATATACATTTTTCGGAATTTTCAAGTCAGGACATCCCTCTAATCAGGGCAACAGGTGTAAAGGTTATGCTAGCCACCATGGTAGAATCTGGCCTCCTTAACCATACAAAATGTGGCCGGACATTAAATAGACAGGAATACGACAGGATGTCTGCGGATTTGACCAAAATTCCTGTGTTCTTCCTCTAGTGAACAAAATTTTCCAACGCACTATATCACCCATATGCAACCAACACATTTAGCTTACAAAAAATATCATTACGTACCCCAAGTTTGACCACAATAGAAGGGTAGAATGTGATAATTAACCAAAGGACCTGTCTTTGGACCATACCGCATTTTCTTTTGTTGAAGCATTGACTTAACCACTGATGAACGTATATCCAAGGCAACCCCACAATGTGTGAGGTGATTGTCATATGCCTATGCTTCAACCGCAGTGGCTGCCTCCTCATCAGTGGAATCGACTGAGACTATTTCTTCTGTAGGTTCTCCATCAGATGTTTCTGTCTTCGGTTCCTTCTCTGTCTCGGCATCAAGCTGAGTTTCTCTAAGTTTCATCATTAGTTCTTCCCGTGCACTATCATTTTCAGCCAGATATTGTTTAAAGGCTTCCCTGCCTTTGAAATTCATGTCGTTGTAACCATAGAATGAACCAGACCTGGTAACAAATTTGTGTTTCACAGCTAAATCGATGATTTCAGCTTCGCGTGATATTCCCTTGCCAAATTGAAGCTCAAATTGAACAGTTTTAAATGGGGGGGCAAGCTTGTTCTTAACAATCTTAACCTGAACTTGACTTCCAATAGTCTGCAAATCAAGGAAAATGCCAATCCAATCAGATATAAAATTATAAAAGTTATTGAGTAGCTTATCAAATTTTATACCTAGTCACAGGTAGTTATAGGTCAAGAAGAATACAAAGTGGCCCAAATATTGATTTCTATCTAAGCTCCTGCAGATTCTACATTAGACAGGAAATAAAATAGAGTTTTTTGAACTATCATATACAAATCTAAGCCACCAGAACTTGATACCTCTTCTCCCTGCTTGATGAACCCAGTTCTCCTAATATTTAGCCTCACTGAAGCATAGAACTTCAACGCATTACCACCACAAGTAACTTCAGTTGGCCCACCAAATCCATATGTAGAAAGTTTTGCACGTACCTGAAGACATGTATAATCAACTAGTAAGTATAATATTTGCTAGCTCCACAGACTGTAATGATACGCAGACCAAAGAAACTACTCCATGGAAACAGAAAGAACTTCACACTGCAATACCAATAGAAACAAACTTCAGATGTTCAGGCTCAGCCTGGCCCAGCTAAAAATCCATTAAAGCTCAGGATGAGAATATATTGCACCAAGCAAACACCCCCAATTAAACTTCACATTATAAGCTCTAGGAAGTGGTAAAAAGCCACCAGGGCCTTTTTCTGGTAAGCAGCAGAGTGTGTATAACCTTAAATTGATCTTAGTAAAACCTAAGTCAAGAATTTGGTTTAATGCAAAGGCAATACCCCCAAATCTGCCCCTTAAATAAGAGGGTAAGAACAGATTCACCCCTCAAAAAAAAAAAAGGTAGGAACAATTGCCCCTCCAAATTATCGACCAAGAAAAATAACCCATTATTTAACGTGTGACATCATCACACGTCAGAAATTCATTTGCCACCTAAGCATTTTTTAAAGGAATGCTGGTGTGTGATGACATCACACATTCAATAATGGATGATTTGTCTTGATAGATAATTTGGAGGGGCAATTTGTCTCTACCTTTTTTTTAGGGGTCAATTTGTCCTTGCCCTCTTGTTTGAGGGGTGAATTTGGGGGTATTGCCTCATGCAAAATAGGAAAACAATGCTCGAGAAGGTGACCAAACTAAGATGCAGTTCTAACAGTGAAGAAATTTCTCTGTGGATCTCAAATCTCACAAAAGAAATTTTTTTTTTTTTTTTTTTTTGGTACTAAACCCCTCAATATCCAAAAGCCATATTAGGCCTCAACTACTCTAGAGTGGAGCCACATCAGACCCATAAGGAAGAAGCTCTCCCAGCACTTGTTTCTCTATTCACAAGACTCGAACTCAAAATCTTGCTTAAGAG